TATTATCATAACATGTAATTTTATTGTAAAAAATTATTAGTATTATCTTAAAATCTATTTTCAGACCTAATTCGAAAAGTTTAAATTCCAAAAAATGGTTAAAATCAAGTAGATCTATCAATTTATGAAAATCTTGAAAATGGACGGTCTAGATAATGTGTTGCAAGATGCACTTTGTCCGATATTCAAAAACTTTTTTTTTTTCATATTCATAGACCTTGATGTCGAGATGATTGATTAGAGGGCTTTTTCAATATTAGAACAAAATTTCCGATAGATTTTTGAGATGCATCTGCAATTCTACATTTTAAGATCGCAACCTTATATAAACTTTTCCCTTTAAAAACTATGGAAAAATATAAAAAGCAAGTATTAATGACCAAAGCAATTTTTAATCTTTACCATAATGTAAAGAACATTTAAAAATACATTATAAAACATTGAGGAGAGCCAATAGCCATGGTTGAAGGAGTCCAATCTTTCGACAAGTCAATGACAATATTTTATTTTGAAAAATGGTTTGATAAGGCTGCAACCCTATCAAAACAAATATATTCTCACTTTATAACTTAGTGAAAATCAATAAATAGATCATCTTGACTTGAATATTATGTTTGTGAAAAAAATTAGGATTTCAAATTCTAAAATTAGTGTATATTGTAGCAAATTATTTAGACCATTCATTTTGTTTTAAAAATAAGTGTTCACAGATCCGTAATATCTGCACCATTTTTTAAGTTTTAAATTTTATAATCTATGTTAGAATTTGATTTTGGAGCCATCGTAGATATTTTTGCCAGCGAAAGTACTTTTTGGTTGAGGATTTAAGGTGAGGCTTTATTTTATTTTCATAAAACTTTGTCCTTATATAAACCTCATCCTTTCATTTTTTATATCCTTAAATATTAGAACTATTTTATAAGACAATGTATGGTTGAGCAAAAGGAGGAATGATTTGAGATATCTTTCGAGGCACGGTTATTTCGTAGGTTTGGTTAAAAAAGAATAGAAGAACTTATAAGGGAATACCACTTATAAAATCTAAATAATAGAATCTTGTTCATGTTGGGCTCACCCAATTAGAGCCCGAAAGAACAACTAATGCGATCTTGCCAAGGAATATATTTTTTTTTATTTTTCTTCTTTTCACCCATTTTCTTTTTTTTTTCTTTTCTTTTGGTCAAGATCACTTACAAGTAGTCTTATTACAATAATTCTTGCTTCAAAGAAAATAAAACTAACAAATCCAAGATTTTAAAAACTTTGATGCTATTAAACAAATTTTCTTTAACCAAAGAAAATATCCACAATAATATAAAGATAATATAATTAAATATAACAAGAAAAAAAAATAGAGTGCTGGAGATTATCTCAATTGGGCTTATTACACCCCACACCGAGTCACTACCATTCAATGGCGCGGGATCAATGATCAACTTTCAATCTCAATCGGGAAAGCAAGTTTAGGCAAGTCACACTAATAAAACATAAACTCATTTAATTACAAACTCAAACCCTAGGTGAATTCCCTTAGCAACATATTTTGAAAGAGATGGATTCTCTTTTTGCTATACCCTAAAACCCTTAGCTATAAATTCATAGTTGAGAGATGGGAGAGCAAAAAACCCCATAGCCTAAACCCTTAGCCATTTTTTACAATATGGGAGAAAGAGAGATATCAAAGAAGAGAGAGTGGAACATACCCTCTTTGGGCTTTTATGAGAGAGAGACATAAACTTTCTTAGGAGAGAGATAGAAAGATAAGGTATAAAAGTTTTTTGTAAAGACAATCCTTTTTTTATAGGCTTTGAACAAAATTATGGCTGCTTAGGTTTTACTTGGCTTGTCTCTTCTTGTAAAATTGAATATGAACTATTGATATTGGGTAACTTGTGGGGTGAGAGATTTGAGTCATCCATTCCACATATGGGCCATCAACATTATGGAATATGCTAAAACCTTTATTCCCTTTCCTACACCATTTTTCCATCATAGAAATTAAATAAAATAATTTCAAAGATAACATTGTGCATACCAAAACAATGCACAAGCCTTCTCATGCTTTCCAAAAATTCATTCAAAGCTTCATTAAGTCAATACCTTTTCAAAACACATAACAACTTGGCTTACAATCCAAAATTACTTATCACAAAAATAGAAAGCTTCTAAATGGGTGGGGCGTGCCACCTACGAAAGGATCTCATGGGCCCCACCTTCTAGGCCATGGTGGGCCCATGTACATAATGGGCTCCCATGTAATTTTAAATTTTTTTAAAAACTTAATAAAATAATTTTAGAATTTATTTGAATATTTAAATCAATGTAAAATCAATATCTCAGATTTAATAAATTCAATTTTGATAAATAAAATATCCAGATATCTAAACAAATTCAAATAATAATTCTAAAATCATATATATCATAAAACAAACATAATTAAATTCATTAGATGAAAAAATTATCCATATGGTTTAGAAATTAAATTAATCAAACACTGGGGCACTACACCTTCAACTGTGGACTACGGACTACACTTGCTTTATCAAACCGACTAAGTGTTTTCCATGACGCACAATCTATGCTAGGGCTCATTAGTAGGTCACCAAAGTCTAACTGATGAGCCAAATGGTTGTAATCATAATATGTGGATTTCAGGTTCTCCCTTAGAGATGGGCTAAGGTCACTTAGACCTGATGC